GAGCCCAGCGTCCTCCTACGCCGCCATCTTCCTTCTCCTCCCTGCACTAAGCACTTTATATGCATTAGCCCATTGAATTCTTACATTAGTCCCATAAAGTAAGTGGTGCTATTGTCATGGTTTTACAGATGGGGAAACCAAGACACAGAGCAGTTAAGTGCCTCTTCCAGCCTAGAATCAAAGACTATCCAAATCCAAAGACAAATTTCTTAACCTCTATGGGACAAGAGGCCACTGTCAATACTAAGTTGCACTCAATATATGTTTATGGAAAATTAAATGAAGAAATTAAATTCTGGTTTAGTATTTACCTACTAGCTGTGTCATTTGGAAAATTACACTTATGAGTTTCAATTCCCTACCCATGAAATGGGAATACTAATAAGTATCTCATGAAGTCCTTTTAAGGATTAAATAAATTAAAAAAACAAAAACAAAAAAACAGTTAAAGCCTTAGTTTGGTTGACAGGCCCAGAGGATCCTCCCCACTCTACCACCTAGGGCTCCAACTCTCCTGGGTAGGAGTGCTTAGCTATGAAGGGCAGACACAGAAGTATAGCTGCATAGGTGTTGGGATGGGAAGATGTCTCTCTAGTGGGTACAGTAGCAGAAGACGAGCGATGGATCATAGGTCTCAGCAGGACACAAAGGGAAGTGGAAACAGGAAAAGAGCTCATACATATTGTGTAGAGAAGACTAGTGTCTACTGGTGCCTGGCCTATCACTCCTTCTTAGTCACACAGAAGAATCCAAGCCTCATCAGAGCCATGTAAGCAGAAGTGACTAGAGTCATTTCCAAGTGAGGTATTCAAGATCCAGGTTACTATCCCCATACTTTATCTTCCCTAATATGGCATCTTTTGAGGCCACATATATTCTAGATGGCATAACAACAAAGAAAACTTTCTGACATTAAGCTACTGATACTTGGGTATTAATTTGTTATTGCAGCTAAGCCTGACCTATCCTAACTAATCCGGCAGAAGAAAAGGTAGTAGTCCCTTGCTTTCTCTTCTGCCATCTGGTTCCCACATCATATGGATTTTCTGTTAGAGGATTCATGACCCTGCTCTCTCCATAGTTTCCAGCCCCCATTCATATATATTAATATTAATAAAAATATTAATAAAAAT